AAAAGAGAAAACATAAAGCTAAAAAAATGGAAAAGGATTGAAGAACCCAAGAATGAGGGAGTACTGCAGAAGAGGACAGAACAGAAACAGCAAGTTGGAGATGGTAAGACACCAAACTGAGAAATCAGACATCCAGATTCTTCCCCCCTTCAACCTTCACCCTTGGGTAAACTTTGATTCTGAGCCGCCTTCTTCTTCTATCTCTTCCAAGCCCCCCAGGGGCTGCCTATTCTTCACAGCTGTGGAGGTGAGGGTAGGTGTGGGTAGGATGCTGTTCAAAGGTAGGCTTTCCTCCTGGGATGAAGAGGTGTCCTCTCTGTGTTGCCTGGAGGAGCCTGCAAAGATGCAGATGCATATACTAATTGTAGACCAAGTACAGCCACAAGCATTTTTACTTTTTCAAGACCTGCCTAGGAATTGTTTAGGGAAAGTTAACACGAATAGAAAAACTAGATAGCCTCATTATGTTATGACTAAAATATGAGCATAGCCCTATGTGCTAAAAGTTAGGCTTATAGAATTATATCTAGGACTTGTCCAAGAAAAACTTACTACACAGCTTAGAAAACAAGATGAAAAAAGATATAAATTTTCACAGAGGAATAGTAACATTTGAACACAAATGTGAGAAAGGATTGGACTCCCCAAAGAGAGGTCTCAACTAATCAATGAAGATATCTGAGGTCCTGTTCATTCAAGATTTTTGTGGTGAGAAAAAGCTTAAAATGGCAATGAGAGTTTTGGGACCTGAAGCTAGGATGGAAGTATTAGGGGTAGGAACAGAAAAATGGAAGAATGGATTTTCAAGAAGCCAGAAAAAAATGAGATGACTGCAATGTCAGCATAGTGCTGACATAAAGGGTAAGTGGAGGGCCTAAAGCTCAAAATGTTAAGCATCTCTATTCTGCAAAAATCTGAGAAGGTAGATGAGGAGAAAGAGTCAAAAATGACTCAGAAAACCCAGGTATTATTGTTTTAAAACATGAGTCAAACTGATATCGGTATCTGCCAACTGTAAATATTCATACCCCCATTACCCTCTCTGCCCTCCATGGCCAGGTTTGTATTCTGAAACCAATAACCCACAAAGTGAGCTGCTACTGGTTTAAACAGAGGGCTACAGACAAAAGGAAAGAACCATACCCATGCCCCAGAGAAGAAACCCTGGACCCCCAGGTAGATCCTCCTAATCTCTCCAGCCTATTAATGGTGTAATCTTTGGGTTTATCGTTAGTTTTGAATTCATTTTCCATAGAGGTTTGCTATTTTTAGTTGGCTAAATAAACTTTGAAAAAATGAGTACCTTTAAAGATAGCAGATGCTCAATAAAATGTTTTTATTTAATTTAACCAAAGGCAAAAGTTTGAAGGAGACAAAAGATTATATGCTGCTTATCTAGGTAGTGGCAATAATAGTAGTGCTAGAGACCCTGATATCCATATATACAACACACACACACAGAATTTTACCTTCAATACGCCTCTTCTTGGAGTGGGGGTAGCCCTGAGGGCTAGCCTCTGCTGTGTTCTCTACAGGGCTGAGGGAGTGGCAATAGGTGGTGACTGGACCCCAGGGATGGCCCGGTGCCTGGGAGACACGCTGCAGACACTTCTCCAGGTAGGACAATCTAAGGAAGGGGTGGGATGAAGAGGCTGAAGTCATCAGTGGGTCCTCACCATGCCCTTCTTCCCTAATCCACTTCTTTATCCACCCACCTATAAACTTACAGTAGCTTCTTGTCCTGATGGAAGAGTCGAGGGGAGAACTCTGAAAGGAGCTCCAGGAATGCTAGGTTTGGGGGCTGACCGGAGGAGCCAGTTGGAGGAAGCTCAGACAAGGAGAACTTGATGCCTTCCCTTGGTTGAGCAGAATTATTTTAGGAAGATAGTCCCTTCCTACTTCTTTCCCAGGATTATCCAAGTGTACCCTCCTTCTATCCCCAGCTTGTCTCCCAGGGTTACCAACCTGCCAACCTGATTGCTATTTCTCAACATGCTTATCTTCCCTCCAAGATCTTATTCTCAACTCTCCCTGCACAGAGCCTTTAGCTCAGCCCTCTTAGGAAAATTCAAGCGCATTGACTTCCAACCAATATTGTCTTACTTGTGTAGCATGACTATAAGGTCACGGTTCTGTAGCTGCTGGGGTCCAAAGCTCAGGGCAAACCTTCGGGCCAAGTCCCTCATCTCAATGAAGGCTGGAAGCTCATTCAGGTCCTGGGGCCCCTGTTCTTGCAGCAGTTCTGTGTACAACTGTGTCCAGGAGACATGGTGCATTTGGGAGAGGGAGGAACAAGGTGGAAACAGAGAAAGGTAGGGTATTCCCTTCTTTGCCTAGAAAATCTAAAGGGCTCAGGATGCCACCTGCTACCTACTTTCATTCTTTCTTTCCTCTTGGGATACTGCCCCAACCCTCAACCCCCTGCAGCAGAGACAGTATTCACTCCTGCTCTGTAACAATAAAAATGTCTGTAGTAACCAAAGGAGTCTGAGAGAGAACAAATTAGAAAAGAATTAGGAATTTCCTATCACTTTATTGTTGGTGCTCCTAAGTTGAATTTCTATCAAGTTGGGGTGGAAACTACCCAGTCAGTTAAAAATTACTTTCTATGGGTCTACTAGTTATGAAGGAAACTGTCGTGTAAAGTAACAGTCAAAATAAATTAGAAAGTTCCTGCTCTTAAGGATCTCACATCCTAAATGGCCAGGTGTTAATATGAGTTTAAACTACAGGGAGCGCATGTCATAGATTTAAAGCTCTGTAAGCAAAAGGGAGTACCTGCTTGAGGCTCAGCAGCAGGATTCGGGAACAATGACTTCGGTCAATCTGTCTCGCTCTTGTTAACGTTTCCTTGATAATGTCACCATAGTCATTGTAAAACTGAGAGAGAGGAAATGGATTAGTGTTTGACCACAGGAAAAGACTGTTTCTGTTTTGCTTCTTTCTTCACATTCCTAATTAAGTCTCCTTCCAGAAGTGACTTAGGCAGGGAAACACGAATTTAAGTGAGACTAGACTTCAACTCTGGCTAACAGGTACAAAGCCCAAAACAAATCACTTTAGGCAAACCAGTAAGGGAAGAAACTCTGCCCTGAGCCCATTTCTTGGAGAAGAATAGTAAGCCTGCCAGTACCCACTCTTATCCAGCATTGAAGCCTTCATTATTTGCCTCACCCCACTAAAACAAAAGCTCCATGAAGCAGGAACTTTTGTCTATTATGTTCATTGCTGTGTCCTTACTGTTTGAAATGGTGCGTGGCACCAATACAATATAATGGTGGGTTGAGGAAACTGAGGTACACATTTAGGTATCTTGTGAAAATTGATCCCTCTTCCATTCTTTTTCTTCATTCTTACATTACCCTATTCCATTGACTGGGTTCACAGAAAAAAAAAAAAATTTCTGGATAAGAGTAAGATATTTCCGCTTTAATAAATTTGTCTCTTTATTCTAAACTCCTATTGTCCTTTCCCTCCAATTTTGCCTTTAAGCCTGATATCATCATCTCCCCCACCCTTTTTGTAGTGCTACAGTGTCTGTAGTCATACACTATATGCCTCACTGTACCTTGTTATAATGTTTGAAAACATCTGAAGCTGCATCCATCTCCAGCACCCCATAAAGTAACAGCTTGCAGAACCCAGCAAGGAGGCGGCGCCGCTGGTGCAACTGCTCTATCTGTAAATGGTCCTCTTGGGAATGACCTGGCTCATATCAAATGCAGAACAGAAATATTAGAATCAAAGAGTTAGGCCTCTTGCCCTCTGTGCCTGAGGCAGGCCCAAGATCCAGACCCTTCCTGAGCCCCAGGTATAGAGTCCCTGTACCCCCGCCCAGTTCTCCAGGCTGGATGAAGACGTGGTCCATGAGGAAGCTGGCTAGCTCAGACTGGAGAGTGGCTTCAGGAAGAAAGACAAGGGGCCTAAGGAAATCACGTCCCCCTACAGTCATCTGAGGGCTGAAGATGAGAAGTAGATCACTTAATAAGACGAAAGCCTGTTGGGAAAATTAAAGAATGCTTAAAAAAAATAGAACATTGACCAAGACCAAAATTACACAGCTAATTTCTCTTTAGAAAGGGGATTCCTCAGACTATGGGGCAAGACTTGTCTCCTTGTTCCCACTTGAGAAAACACTCACTTGCTCCTGGATCTCAGGATCCACATCTGAGAGGCAGCTCTGGCAAAGTTCACAGAAGGCCACCATTCTGCCTTTCAAGTTCAACAGCTGCTTCTGTGGAGACAGTGGCTTCAGGGGGAAGAATAAAGACACATGCTCCTTTATTCCTGTTCCCCCTACTTAGACCCATATTCACCTGGGAAGCACCTGATCCAGAAAGGTGGGTTAGTGTCCAGAGGATGGAAAAATAGACAAGAGTCAGAGCTGGCAGGATCACCTGTAACGATCAAATATTACAAAAACAACAGATGAGTCAGGAGAGTAAGGGGGCAGATAGAGAGTGAAAGAGGAAGAAGAGAGGGAGATAGGCAGGCACATACAAAGCAATGAAGAGATAAAAGCAGTGAAGAAGAGAGAAAATAAGATTAGGGGAGAACTGATTCCTTTTATAGTGGAAAAGAAGTGATTCCGGATAATCTTCAGAGGACTTTATCCTGGGTAAAACTATCACCTCTCCTAAGTTTATTTGAAGTCTCAATATATCCTTGACTACCAGGAAACCAGAGAAAATGGTTGTTTTCAGGCACTGGAAAGTACAGTTCACCTTCCAAGAGTGGAATGGAGGAATGACATACACATGATCTTCCTCCCTTGTGTCTACTCCATATTCCTGGGACTGGAATTGCCTGGGAGAACTGGCCACCTAGGACACATGGCCCTTAAAAACTCCTCTCTGCCTCCATTTCTCTAACTTGTCTACTTGCCTGGTGAGGAATCTCTCCTGTGTCCACAGCCTTCCGGAGGAGTCGGTAGCATGGTTCGTAGAGCTCCCAGCGTGTTAGGTCATGAGCACTTGAGGGGGGAGGGAGAAGAAGGAAAGTTAAACCAGAACAGAATCAATTCCACAGACACCAGGAGAAATCAAAGGAGCTGCTCACTTGTAAAAGGCAGAGAGGCGCTTCAGAGTGGCTGTCAGACTGTACACCTCATCCTCATCTAGGAAGGATGACTGAGGAAGAAAGAAGGTCCACAATGAGCTTTTCCCAAGAACTCATAGATTCATGTCCCCATCTGTGGCCTATTCCCACCTGAGTTTGGGGTGTCCTGTCATTCAGCCCCAGTTCCTACCTGCAGCAGCTCTTCAAGTTCTTGCTGGAAGCGGTCAGTCAGCAGATCTACCAATTGGCTGCGGGCAAAGTCCACCCGGCTAAAGAACGTGAACTCAGGATTACAGAGCAGATAGAGGGCGTGAGCTCCAGCCTCAAGCACCACTGGCTCTGCATGCTTCACCACTACCTCCTGGAGTTGCTGCAAGAACAGCTCCAGGTGCTGAGAGAAAAAAAAGTGGGAGAAACTAGTGTTGGGGAGGTGGGGAACACAACTCTTCTGGAGGAGAGTTCAGCTGGGAGAGATAAGAAACAGGGTTGATCTCAGACAAGAAAAAGTTAAAGGAATTCATCATCACCAAACCAGCAATACAAGAAATGTCAAAGGCTTTTTATGAGAAAAAAAATAAAAAATATGATTATAAAAATATGATTATAAAAAAACTACTATACATCTATCAATAATTACTTTAAATGGACTAAATGCTCCAATAGGGTGGCTGGGTAAGAAACAAGACCCTTACATATGCTGCCTAAAAGAGACTCACTTTAGGTTGAAAGACACACACAGACTGAAAGTGAGGGATGGAAAAAGATATTTCATGAAAATTTCATGGAAATGAAAACACAAACAAAAAGCTGGAGTAGCAATACTTATACTATACCAGACAAAATCTGTAAAACAAAGGCTATAACAGGAGACAAAGAAGGACCCAGTAATTCCACTTCTGGGTATTTATTTGAAGAAACTAAAACACGAATTCGAAAAGATATACGCATCCATATGTTCACTGCATCATTATTTACAATAGCCAAGATATGAAAGCAACCTAAGTGTCCATCAATAGGTGAATGGATAAAGAAGTAGTATATATGTACTTACATACATACATACAAACCTACATACATACATACATACATGATGGAATATTACTCAGCTATAAACAAGAATAGAATCTTGCTACATATTACAATGTGGATGGACCTAGAGAATATTGTGCTAAGTAAAATAAGTCAGAGAAAGACAAATACATATGATTTCACTTACATCTGGAATCTAAAAAACTAAATAAGTAAACAAAACAGAATTCATAGATGCAGAGAACATTTTGGTGGTTGCCAGATGGAAGGGGTGTTGGGGGAGTGGGTAAAAACGGGAAAGGATTAAGAAGTACAAATTGGTAGTTACAAAATAGTCACAGGGACGTAAAGCATAGCATAGGGAGTACAATGAATACTACTGTAATAACTATGCATGGTGTCAGATGGCTACTAGATTTATCAGGGTGATCACTTCGTAAGTTATATAAATGTCTAATCACTATTTGTACACCTGAAACTAACACAATATTGTATGTCAACTATAAATAAAAAATTATTTTAAAAAATGAAAAGAAAGAGGGTTGAAAGCATTAAACTTCAAGAATAAGATACCTAAGAAAGGGAAGACTTACTGATTTTTCTGAAACCCATGTTCTTGAGAACCAGATACTGGCAGTAGAACCTTTGGCCCTAGCAGGGAAACAAGGTAGAGGAAATATATCTTTCTTCCTCCTCACCTTCTCTAAGCGCCTGGTGCAGTAGATGTTGAGGTCAAAGTAGTTGAGAAGCTGAAGCAGGGGAGCAACCTTCTCTGCATCAGCTGAGAACTGTGGTGAGTGAGACCGAGTTATTAGCTAATGTACTGCTAATTCTTACTCCTATTCCTCATTAGAGGCCGTTTTCTTTCACCCTCCCATTCCCACATGCTTAACAGTGGGGCAGCTCTACCTTGGCCAGGAGCTGGGGTAGCAGGGGAATGAGGTGCTCAGTCAGCTTCACCTTGTCATCTGCTTGGATCTTACGTTCTTTAAGGGTTAAGCCCTGGAATTAGTCATTTGGGGGTGTGGGAAAGGTATAGAGAAAAACTGGGTCTAGAGAGTGTATACGTGTATCCGTCCACCCCATCTTATCTGCCCAGGAAGGAATCCAGCAGCTCCCTTCAGGTTTTTTTTCCTTCTTGAAATGGAATTCTTTGAGGGGCAGAGGAAGGGGCACCCTAAGCCAAGACTTGAGGATAAGAATAGACAATATGTCTGGATTTAATATTTTCAATCAACCCAACCTACCCCTCATGCCATACCTTCCTCCCAGTGACCCGCCCAACAGGGGGGTGACCCTCTGAAGCTTGCCGGACACTGGACACAAGGATTTCTATCAGCGTGCTCTCCTGCACATCGCCCAGGTCTGGGTTGGCAGAAGGATGGAGACACAGAACCATGAATTAGCCACCCTCTATCTCCACGTCCTCCCCCACCCTCACACTCTACTATCCATTACAACTCTACCTCTTACAAGACAGGAAAGAAATCTCATTTCCTACTAGGAGGTGAAAGGTACCCCCTGACCCCCAGCTACCATGTGACACACGTACTCTGGTCCTTCTCCAGTAGCAAACTTGTCAGACTCTCCCAGTCCTTCAGCTGAGACCCCGCACAGTCCCACAGGCTGTCTACTAAGTAAGCAGCATGGTTATGGAGCTGTGGAAGGAGGTACACATTAAATTACTGAAGTCAAATTAAAAAACTCTAGGAAGTTAACTAATGATAAACCATAGCTCTCTTTCCTGTAGTGCCAGCTCCCACCCTTCTCTACCTGCAGGTCTTATGCACAATAACCAAACAGCTCCTTCCTATACGTCACCTCACTCTCCACAAAGAAGGACAGCAGAAGGTGGAAGAAAGTCTTCTGGGCACGTGGACTTCGGCGTCGCTCTCTCCCACCCACTGTTCTCGTCTCACACTCAGGGTAAAAGAGCCTGGTAGAATGGACACAAGGAAAAGGCACAGCACAGAAAGAAATAAGGAGTAGAATCATCACCATGGAGGGAAGAAACAATCCAAGGAGAGGTATAAAGGAAAAAGAGGTACAGAGCTAAAGGAAGCCCCAAGGAGTTGAAGGGGAAAAAGAGATCCTAAGAAAGACTTTAATAGGTATGTGGAGTTCTTAGGAAGGGCAGCAGTAGATGAGGGAGAGAAAACAAGAGAATGGTGTTAGAAGAACAAATGAAGGGAGCCCTACTCACTTCCAGTACAGAAATTCCCCTGCAGCAGAGGCCAGGGCTCGATTAGAGGCGTATACAACAGGATAGATACTCTCACAGTCAGCATCTGTCAGCACCCCTTCCATGTTCCTGCCAAAAAAAGGAGAAAGAAGATCAGGTAGATATGGAGGTAGTCTTCTGGGACAACTAAGGCTAGAAACAAAAAGAGGCAAAAACAACGAGGATTAACTCACAAATAACTTTTAAATGAAGAGTGGAAGACAGAGGAGTATGGAGAGTTAGAGAAGATAGGAAATTTTCCCCTGGAGATCTTGCAATTCAGGAATGACCTCTGTCTTTCAACCTGTACATAAGGAAGAGTCAACCTATGCTAGGTGGAGGGACAGGACTCTGGAAGAGTTTGTCTGATGCTGGAAAGTTAAAAGTCTAAGATGCCTGCTTCCCCACTTCCCAGGACTTACTTAAGGATAAGTATTAGCAACCTGACGGCCTCCACTGCCACATCATACTCTCGGTCCATGACCATGGAAACCATCCGGTCCTGCAGGAAAGACAACATTGGTCAAAACCTCACCTGTGTCCATCCCCCAAATTGTATTCTCTTAGAATGAGAGATTCCTAAAGAGAGGATGTAGAAGCAGATGCTGGGATACTTATAGATACATAAGAGCAATAGAAATGGAAAGATGAGGTGGGGAAACAGGAACCAGAAGAGCCAAGCACAGGAATACTGTCCCAATTTCACCTTGAAGCGGCTAGTAAAGAGCTCCAGGCGTGTAGTTAAGTCCCGGTTGCTATACAGTCCTTTGAGAGCCTTCAGGCACTTCAGACGGACTTCTCGATGCTAGTGAGGAAAATGAAAGTATAACTGACTACTCCTCTACTCACCCTCTGGGCCTCCATACTTCCCTCTCAGATTACTCATTCTGGGCCTAGGTGTCCCCTATACCAAGGATTCTGAGATACCTCAAAGATAATGAACAGTTGTCTTCTTACTTAAAAAACAAAAGAATTACAGCAGAATTTAGCAATTATGATGAAAAGGATGTTCTGATTACCACTCTAGCACCTGTACCAACCCATCAATAATGTTCTTGCCTTTTCATAGGTAAGGTCTTTCTTCCCTCTACTCTAGTTTTGAGGTATTTCATTTCCTGGATAGGTCTTTCTTCTACCTTATCCTGCCTTCTCTAATACTGGGGAAGTTTCGAGGTTCAGTGTCTTGATGGGTTAATCACTGATCACTAGTGAAACACCTAAGTGGCAGGACCAGGTAAAGCTGAAGTATCCTAGGGCAGAAAAAAGGATGAGGGGAATAGGGGAAAGGAGACTGACTCAACTCTCACCTTATCATGCAGGGTCCAGCCAATATATTTTAAATAGCTGTCAGTGAGGAAGGAGGTACTGTAGCTTTGCATCCAAGACCCAATCTCCTCGATGCAGATAGCACGGATCTCAGGAAGGACATCCCTAAACACAGAAGAATAAATTGACTTTTATAACCTTCTCTCCAAACTCATTTTCCATCCTACCAAATAATCTCCCTGTCATATAAGAATTTATTTTCTTCACTAAACCATGTACCATACCTTTCATTTCCTCCTACAATGTAAATACAATATAAAAAAAATAAACATTTTCTTTCTATAACCAGCCCATAAAATAGTTGAACTTATCCTCCACTGACCCTTTTAAAAACTAATTTTGGAAGTTAATTTAACTGTCGACCAATGTATGTGTTTTAATTCTACTTCAAGAAAAGGTTAAAGCAGCCGAAAGGTTCTAAAAAGACAAAGGATGAAACCTAGATAAGAACAGGAAATATAGATACTCTTTTTAACTTAATTCTACCAGTTCTTTAAACAGTATAAAACTCACTGCTTTTAGCACAGTGAAACAGCAGACTGGATTAGGAAGAGGCTGGCCAAGATGCACACCCTCAGAAAAGCCTTGCCTTTTGGCTGTCTGCTCTTGTCAAGTCCCTAGCCCCAGGAAGATGGAAAAGCGAAGGTCTTGGGCAAAGTTGGAGCAAAAGAATACTCAGCAATGCCTTATCCTCTTATTTTCTCTCCCAGAAGAGCTTACAAGATCCTTTGTAAGTGGAGAGAAACTAAACCTTATTAATTTGAAATATTTCTTAGTTTTTGCTCCAATTGCATTAGTTCTGGGCTAACCAAATAACTCCTGAGTTAGGAGGGGACTTTGTTACTTCTACAGTTTCTGTAACCAAGAACCAGCCACTTTGACAAAAGGAACCCATTAACTTACCTGTATCGATGTACGAAGACACCCCTGAAGAGGGCATTCATCATCCCCTCAATCTCCTCTTGATGCTCTTGGAGCTGGAGGACAAGGAGGAACAGGTCAATCTCTCTTGTACCCCAACAATATAAAGCCACAAAAATATAGAAATGTATGGCTTCCACCTACTTCCTATTTATTACAGGACACAGTCTGAACTTTTGGTATCCTATGTTCCCTTTTAAACCTAATTCTGGAAGAAACTGTATAGTCAACCAATACCTTTCAGGTTTCTTTGTGTCTGAAAAGATAATATCCCTTCTATATCTGACTCTTTTGACTATCTTTTGCTATTCAGAGGCCTTAGCTGCTAGTTACATATGTTTTTGACTAACACTTGGAAAATTAAATTTTAATAAATGCAGTTTGTTTGACAGAAGAAGTGGACGTAGCAAAAAAAGAAAAAGAAGGAAAAGAGTAGACCAGTGGTTCTCAACTGGGGACCCCCAGGGGACATTTAGTAATGTGTGAGACATTTTTGGTTGTCACTACTAGGCGTTACTACTGCCATCCAGTAGAGAGAGGCCAAGGATGCTGCTAAACATCCTGCAATGCCAGGACAGCCTCCCAATGTCAATAGTGTCACTATTAAGAAATCCTAGACTAGATGAATAACAGATACGAAGGAAATAGAATTATAGGGAAAATTACAAGAATTATAGGGAAGCAGAATTAAAATGGAACATTCTTAAAGACAACTAACTACCCTTACTCTTCAATAAATCAATATATTGGGAGAAAATGGGAGGACGCAAAGGTTCAATAAGATTAAAAGCAACAAGAAACACAACAACCAAACGTAACACATAGTCTTTAATTAAATCCTGTTTGGAACTAATCATATATAAAAAGTATTTGGGGAACAAATGAGGAAATTTTAATATAAATTGGAATTAGCAACTATTAGCGAATCATTCTTAATATTTTTGGATGTGAAAATGGTACTGAAATTATGTAGAAACATGTCATCTTTTAGAGGACATATTTAAGTCATTAGGTTGAAATACCAACATGTCCATAACTTACCATAAAATGGAAAAAAATAAATGAAACAAATACGGTAAAATGTTAAATCTAGGTAATTTGTATGTAGTGTTCATTCTACCAATGCCTTTTTCTGTTTGAAAAAGTTCATATTTAAAAGAAAAAGGAGATGAAGGAGGGTAGGAGAAAGGTGGGTCATCAGTACCAAATTCTATAGAAGTTTGGAAAAGGAAGATTGAGAAAAGGCCATTGGCTATAAGGATTAAGAAGTCACTGGTTTGAGAATAATTTCAAAGAAAAATGAAGAGAGAAGCTAGGCAGCAAAAAGGATAGAGCTGGATACTAAGAAAGTAAGGAAAAACCTTCTAAAAGGATAGAGATGGAATAGCTCATGGAGGAGAAAAATGAAGGAAAGATTCAAGGGCCTATCTATAAGTGGAGAAAAGAGTGGGGAGAGAAAGATTAAAGACAAAAACGGGAATAATAATTGATGAGGCAAGAACCTAGAGAAATTAAAAAAAGGACACACTAGTGTATATAAGATTCAAGATAGAATATACATAAGGTTTAAGAGCATAATGACAGTGAAAACAGAAAAAGAGAATGAGAGAAGTTTAAAGTTTCCTTCTCTAATGATTTAGCAGTGAAATCTTTGGAGAGGCCTAGGAAAAGTCAATTGGTACAGTTAGACATGGTGAGTCCTGCAACCTCATAGTGGGGGAGTCTCAGGTGCCGAAGTAGAGTGTCTATGTGTGTAGGGGGGACCAGAGTCTATCTCATGATAGACATAGCTATTTGAAGGTTTAATCAGTGCAAATGATTTTGTTAGGGTTTATGTCCTGCGGTGGTATTTTTTAAGTTTAAAAGGAAACAAAGCAAATACCTACTATGTGGTAGGCTAAGCAATTTACTCAACATCTCATTTTATCTTCATAAAAAAGTAGAATTATCCCTCTTTTTTAAAGAAAAGGAGACTGAAGTTTAGAGGTGTTACATAAGGCCATAGATCTAGTAGCTAACTGGAACAGGAATTAAACTCAAGAGTGACTGAAAGGCCTGTGTCCCTTCCATTCCTTAAACACTTGGCTTCCCCCATCAGTGGTTGGCCTTTAGTACTCCTATGGTGACCTGTATACTGTACACTTGACAGGAAAGTCAAAACTTAACTTCTTGCATAGGTGCAGGCACAACTCTTAAACACTTCTAATAACGAATGGAGATAATGGAAACTGAGAAAAAGTGGTATAGAGAATTCTAAATTTTACTCTAAATTAGAAATGATAATAATTGAGCCCACATCCCAAAAACAAGATGAGCATGCAATAATCTCTGACAGAATGGGTCTATAAACTATTGAGAGCATCCATTATTAATGATCTGAAAGGTTGCTTGGGGACCTGTGTCTTACCAGAGAGAAGTCCTTGGGGACTGATAAGGTGAGCTTTGGCAGCAGTGGATAGAAGCTAGGAAAGAGAGACGAAAAGAGGCAGGGTACACACTTCTCACCTCTTTGCGTTTCTCCAACAGGCTCTCCAGCCGCTCAGGTGCTCTCTGTTCTGGCCCCTTGTTTCGTTCAGCCTCATACTGACGTTGATTGTTGTCTTTGTGCAAACTCAGTTGGAGGGCAACTCTTACCAGAGAGGTCATTAGCTTCATGGCTTTGAGTCAGGAAAAACAAGATAAGGAAACCATTATTTAAGTCAAGGAAGGGAGAGGAGGTTCAAAAGAGAAGAGAATAAAGGGCAGTGAAAATGAAAAGCTAGAGCAGGGTGACTATCAAATCCCCAGACTTATTGTTCTGGAGTGCAGTTTTTTTCTCCCTAACTCTTTTGGGCTTTTTTTTAATCCTCAGTATATTCCCAATGGTGAGCTATGAGAAACATGCTATAGCTGGAAACTGTCACTGTATTCCACCCCTTTTTACAAATCCACTAGAAAGAAACGAAATTGGGTTTGGGATAAAAGAACTATGGCCTTGAAATAAAGACCTAAAGTGCAGCTAGGAAAGAAGATCCAGAACTGGAAAACAGAAAAAAAGTCCAACCAATCCCCAGGAAAATATTTATAGAGTAAAAACGAATGCTCACCAGCCAGGGTGCTAGTGTGACGGAAGGCACGGACTTGGGAGTCCGAGAGGCCAGTGAGCAGGGAAATGAGGTTGTCCATAGGGAAGCCATCATAAAGGAGGCTGTACTGGCACTGGTAGACCAATGTCCTCACAAATTCACAAAAACTTCCCTGGAACTTCTTCCAGGATGGACCTGGAGCTGTCAGGGGATAGTCTCCTGAGTCCTAAAGAAGGGTTTATGAAAAGGATGGGAAAGTTATTACCAGGCCACAGGGATCGTAGATGTCAAAACCCAATAGTATAATAAAGATGTTATCTCTGTTATACTTCATTTCCTGCTATTCTCAACTCTAGAGGCATATTCAGATAATATCTGAATGGGTCTCTTTTGGTCCCAAGAGACTGAACTCCTCCTTCTAAAAAATATCCTATTTCCCAGAATCAGAAAGGAAGGGGTAATGAGCCTTGTATTTTGAAATAAGAGTGGCATGATGATCTTGGTCATATTCTTCCACCTCATTAAACTGTTCTGTTAGGTGCCGGATGATCTCTGAGTTGGACATCTTCTTGAACATCTCGGGGGTCACAGTGCCTAAGGAATAAAACAGATAAGGTATTTACAAGGGAAATAACAGGACACTATAACTATTTACATATATATCTGAAGATGAGCTAGGGAATGTATTGAATAGAGCGTAGGTGGGAAATCAGAAGACTGAAATCTGCTACTATCTAATTGTACATCTGCTATAATGCAACCCTTCTAGAAAACCCAAAGAAACTGAGCAGTGGAAAATTAGTTTTAAAAAAATCCAAACAAACAAAAAAAAAAACCAAGGAAAGCAATAAAACTACACCAGATTCTGGATTCTTATCATATAATGTGCCTAAGACTATCTGCCTCAATAAATTAAGTCATGGCCTCTGGGGGCCCACAGCTTCAGTGGTGGTGAAGTAGCAGAGAAATAAAGAATAAGAAAATAAAAAATTAGAGAAAGGAAGACTAAACGGTGTCTGATGGTCCATTTTAAAATTTGTGATTATTACCATGATTAATTATTTTTCTGCAAAAGGTCTTGTTTCCAAACCAACATAGTTTCCTATTGGTCATTTCCCTATTTGCCAATCAACAATGCGGGTAAATAAGTAAAACTTTTCTCATGCTTTACCTTCTCCTTTCATTTAAGAAATGCCTAATCCTATTCATCTAAATTCATCCAGCCTTCTGTTGGAGACTAGAAAGGGATAGAAGTTTCCTTACCTTTACATCCACAAGATCGGATGAAAAAGTTAATAAGCTCCAGGAATCCTGCATCCTGGTCTTGCTTGTAGCTCTCCAGCCACTCATCCACCAGAGACTAGAAAAACAATGTAGATGATTTCTACTTATAGCAATATGACAAACTAGAAATCCTGTATATTTTTCCAATTGAAGCATCTAAACTTCTGATTGAAATATTAATAATATATTTTAAAATGTATTGCTGGACTGGAATGAAAAGTAGAATTCCACATAGGCTAAAAATGAAGTGAAGGTAGCAATCCTTAGAGATAAGCAAGATGACTTTTGCTCTGTAGGTTTCTATTAAACCCTAGGAACCCTGACTTTCTGTCCAGAAGGCTGTGAAGAATGCAGAGTATAAGAGACTGAGCCTAAGGGCTTGTTAAGAAGAGTAGTCCCAAAGGAGACTACTGCATAAAGCTGGGTCCTGCAAAGAGTCATATCCTCATGCAAGCAAGAATGAGAAATAAACCTAAAGGTCAGAAGGGGACAGCAAGAAAACTAGTCTGTTGTGACCTTAGTGTGAGGTGGAGAGAAAACAAGAATTCTTCCTTGAGAATTCATAAGCATAAGCCAGCTCTCAAATCTGGATTTTCGGTCCAGATCCACACCACCTATATGATCAGAATAATCTCAATTGAATAATTTACTTAAAGGTGATTCTGGAGTGTCCCCAGTAAACTACCAGAAGCAAATGCAGGCTCCTCTCTTAAAACCCACCTTCTACCCAGGCCCCAAAGAATTCCAACATATAGAACTCCATGGAAAATGAGTGGTTCACATAAAATCTAGTAAAGAATCAAGGCACTGAAAGTAAGAATCAGCAAGAAAAACAGACAGTATAATTAAATACACAGACTTTAGACACTGAAGTTATCACAGATAATAAATTATGCTTACTATGATTAAAGAAATAAAAGAAGATTGAAAGTAGAAGAACAATTAATTTTAAAAGGGGCCAAACAAAATTTGTAGAAAATATAATAAAGTTTAAAATGTCAATGAATAAATTAAAAGCAAATTGGGCACAGCAAACAGAAGATGAGTGAACTGGAAGATTAGTCAAAGAAATCATCCAAAATGCAGCCCAGAGACTAACAGAAATAATAAAAGAGCTATTTAGAGACATGGAGAATAGAGTGAGAAGTTCTAATGATGTCTAATTGAATTCTAGAAGAAGATAACAGAACAAGGAAGAATCACTATTTGAAAAGAATTTTCCATAGTTGTTGGAAGATACCAATCCTCAGAGCCTGGAAGCTAATGGATCTCAAGCATAACAAATAAAATATCATATAAACATAACACACACACACACAAAAAACACAGAAAAAAAGAGGTCAACTTACAAAGGATTTACATTTAACACAAATGAAAACACTTACAAATTAGATCTGTCCAAATAAAATAGCCCCTAGCCATATCTGGCTATTAAAATTAAATTTAAAAAATTTAAAATCCAGTTCCTAAGTCACACCAGCCACATATCAAGTGCTTGCTAGCCATATGTGGCTAAGGTATACTATACTAGACAATGGTGATATAGAACGTTTCCATCCTTATAAACTGTTGTATTAGACTGCTAACTTAGATAGCTGGCTACCAGCAGCAATAAGTGAAATTAGAAAGCAGTGGAATAATCTTTTTAATGTGCTGAGAGAAGGAAATGTCATCTTAGAATTCTATACACAGCAAACAGTCTTTCAAGAACAGGGTAAAGACATTTTATATAAGCAAAAGCTGAGTTTGTTAATAAAGTCTATCTAAAGAAAATTTTAAAGGATAAAATTTGGACAGCAAGAGAAATGATGAACAAAGAAAAGGATGAAAATGTAGGTAATATCTAATTTGCTAGGAGAAGAGGAATGGACAGAACTAAAACACTGTACAACAGCATGTAAACTGGAAGGACCAATTGCAATTAAAATGTGCTTAGGTCCTTGTAGAAGGTAGAATTCCAAAACCAAGCAAGGAAAGGGAAAAAAGAAACAGGGAAGATAAAGTTGTAAGCACATAAAATAGTAGCAATAAATTCAAATATATCAG